CTCTGGTGCCACCTGGGAAGCCCCGTGCTTTTGAATATCAAATATTAAATTCATGTCTTAGCAAAAAAAGTGAGAGATTTCTGAAACATTTGGAAATTACGATCTTTTGATGTTCAGCTAGATCTTGACTAGACTATCAGTTATTTGAAAGCTTTACTATTCTGAATTCCCTGGTCTACAGTGTTATTTCTCAGGAAATCATTCATGCTGTAAAACTGAGTATCAAAACTGAATAAAATAGCCTAATATTTGTGTCCCTAACAACTGCATGTCTTCTTTACAAATTTACTAATGAATTCCTTTAGAAAATACCAAACTTAAATCCTTCTTATCTAATTTAGAAAAGTGATAACTGTTCCTGTGATATTTAAATGGAAGCACAATTTGTCTTTTACACATATAAAAAGGATATGGGGAGGAAGAGAGGGTACTGTATTATTTCCATAGAAAAAGTTTTCCACAGAAATTCTCAAGTTTAAAAACTTTGTATTGAAGTTTTTTATAAGAACGATATTTTCAAAGATTTAAATCTTGGATTAAAATTTCCCTCTTAATTAAAACTTCGGAGAATAAGAATTTGACTCAAATTTATGAAACATGAAGGGGGAAAGCATGCTATTTAAAATTTTTAAGTGTATACAACATGCTTTTTATTTTGTTTTCTAAGTTTGCCAGCTTTATGTTTTCTTGGCACATTCAAGGATTCTGTTTTTTCACAATGTGGGCTGTGTGCCATGGAAAAAGATGAGCTAATTCTAAAAGCAGCCACTGTCAATGAAGAAAGACTACTTTTCAAATGGGCCAACATGTATCCCTTAGCACATGAAGATACATGAATATGCATTTAAAGCAAAAGGCATTCTACACTGTGAATATATAACACACAAAGCTCTGCTTTATGCATTTACTCAGGAACTCACAATTTTCTAATATACATCCACAGACCACATCTTAACAACTCTAGGCAAGCCATTATAGTGCACTTTTCATTTGTCAGATGGAATATATGAAGAGAATACAGAAATTAACTGTGGCAGGTACACTGATAAGCCTCCATACTCTGGGGATTTCATTTTTATGTTTTTAAGTAATAGTAAAAAAAAGAAGAAAAAAAGCAGTAGAGAACTTATTGAAAGGTAAAAACTTATAAAGACCTTTCTGAAGGAAATGTCTCAGAGGTTATGTTAAGGCTACTGGAAACTCCAAAAATTCAAGTGAGGTTACTGATCAAAAATAAAATAAGACATTCAGGTCACCATCACTATCAGCTCTAGTTTTGGAAATGACCCCAGAATTCTACATTGAAGGCCTTTCAGTGGTCTTTATTAGCTAGTAGTGGTGCTTGGTGGAAACGGTCGGGGCTTTAGGGGCATTAATATGGCCTCATGAATATTAGGTACCTGTAGTTTCCATAGGTTTTTTAAGGGAGAGGGTGGGAGGAGCCTTACTCTGGTTTCAAGCAGTTCAGGACCACAATACAGGAAGGAGTCATCTCCTCACTACCCTCTAGTGGGCTGAAATCCTGAAACTGCCCTGGAAGATAACAGAGCCCTTGGCAGACCAAGATCAGTGGTATTGGGAACTGGCAGCTTAATGCCCTTTGCTGAAAAAAGAAAAAAATGAGTCAGGGAGCATCTGTACAAAGGGAAAACTTATTTGCTACATAACTTTTAAATAGACTCAGTGAGGGCCCCCTCCTCAACCATTATGGAAAAAGTTGAGGGACCAACACCCAGTTAAGCTACTTAAATTGCAGTAACTTAGGACTTAATTATACAATGGGATAGGATAAAAGCTCTAATCCTTAAACATTAAACACTGCATTAAATGGTTTAAAGGAACAACCTGCTTTGAGCTGTGCTCAATCCGTGCAAGGATTATACAATCTCAGTGCTCTAGCTAAATTCCTAATGTTTACCTAATGTACTGGTAAGCCTCCCATAGAAGATGGGTCTCTCGGATTTATACGGAAATATAACCTTTTCCCTCCCCTATCATATACAGCAGAGCTTACTCTTCAGGCAGGAGCCCAGAAAGTGAATCAGGCACCAGAGCCTGAATTTTCCGATGGCAGCAACGATTATGATTGTGATCACCCTTGACGAGAGAGGATGCTAACTACAGCTCTGGAAACAGGCGTCCTGAACATGCTTTTGAAGATGCACCACAGAAAACGACAAAAACTGTAACACAGAGTCAGTGGTTTATAAAAGTATTCAGGTAACCACATTTCACAGATAATTTTTGTTCTTCATCTATTCTTCTCACGTGGGCAGAGATGGAGGCAGGGAGCAAAATAGCAGGAAGGCAGCCCAGAGCTAGCTGAGGAATGACTCGTGATGAATGAAAGCGGCAGCAGGACTATCCAAACATAACCTCAAAACAGTCAAATATTGCTAAAAAGCCTGTGAGTTGTTCTAAAATGCCTCAAGGAATGAAGCTCATGAGAGAGTGATATTTTATAAATCAAATATCTCTCTGTGTGTGCCTGTGTAATATTATGCCTGTGCATAATAATATATGCACATCTGCATATATACCTGTACGGCACACACATTCACTGAAGAGGAAACAGGCTGGCAATTAATTTGGAACACAAATGACATGGTTACACATAGATCATAATTTCTAAACACAATGTTAGTAAAACAAAATTTATTTGTAAAACAGGACCTGTTATATAAAATGGCACACAATCCAGTTATACAAAAATACAAAATTTCTTTCTGATTACAGTTCTAGTTGCAAATGATAATTAGAAAGCATTCCTGGTGGCTTCCAAATAGCTGAGATTGCGAGCATACAGAAGAGGGAGCAGCAAGAGTCCATGGTGCTGGGATGTCCAAGTGAGCAGAACCTAACTTCCAAATTCAAGACTTCCAGCAGGTCACTTTGGAGGGACATCTCCTAAAATAACTAGCGCCTGGAATGTCTTCTGTTTTGATACCCATCTTCTGGACTCTTGCCAACCCTAAATTTAGTTCCCAATGTTTCTTAATGTCCATAATCTGTGTGGCTATGAAACAGAAGGTATGCTGAATTTTCTTACATGATTTGCTCTCTCACCTATTTGGATGATGATTAGTTACATGATTATATTTATTCCATTTCAAATGATATAAAAGAGTACAATGATACCGTTTAGTGACATCAGATGTTAGATGTTAACTTCTGGAGGATTATTGTTTCAATTAGCTACTCTCATAATGTTCTTTTCTGTGATCTTGCCAAGACATGAGCTCTTGTTTCTTTTTTTTTTAAATTTCAGACTCTTATTGCAAATATTCTGAAAAGTCAGAAATATTACATGAGCTTTGAAAAGAAACCAAGGCATTTAGCAAATTTTAGCCTAGCTAAAGAACACGGATACTTAAAAAAAAAATACAATTTACCTTTTGCAGCAATTTAAAGGTCCAACCCTTTGAAAGGAAGCACATTAGCAAACAGCTGCTTATTAAGCCCTAGTGACATTAATTGTATGCATTTCCATAATACCGGTCTAATTCATTTTCTAATTCTGGTAGGAGGCAATGCTTTCTTTCAAAAGATTCTCCTTCCATGGAATGATAAAATGCTGAGGCTTTTCTTTTTTTTTGTACAGAGCCTGTATTTAGTGCAATAAGTTTAAAAAATCTGCTCTGAAATATTTACTTTACATTAACAAAAATAGCTTTTTTTAAAAAAATTGTAACAAAAAGGAGTTATCGCATAAACAGATCATGAATTATTCTTAGCAAATTACACTTTTTTTTCTTAAAGCATTCACCATTACAATAAGCAGAACAATGGAATATTAGCCATTCATATCTGGTAAGCTTCAGGAATTAAAAAACCCCCCCCAAACCCAAAACCCATCCCCAAACACAAAGAACGTTCAACACTTGAGGATCAAAATGTTAACCAATTCTTCAGTTAAACATTGTAGAATTCTGGATACTCAATGAATTGCCAAGAAGAGGAGCACCTGCCAGTATGTTTTTAAGATTTTACAGCAAGCATTTGAATAAAACGGCTGTTTAGCTCTAAGCCACTAGGGTTCCTCTGAAGCAGAAGCCCAAGCACTGGAATTTTCAACGCTTTGTGTTCTCCCTTTTTTATTCCTCCCAGCATTATTTACTCTGCAAACCGATACACAGAAACTTAAAGGCTAAACTTGCTGGGTGCCCCAGCTTCCTTTCAAATCAGGCACACGAATGTGTGGAGGATGCTACTAACATCAAAAGAAAGAAAGACAAAATGTAAGAAAAAAGTTTGCATAAGAAAGATTATCTACCCTTTTCTTTTTTACCTACTCTCTTTATAGAAGCATTAGGGTAAACTACAAATACCTGAGGAGTTGGTTACTTTTTAATGTTGGCTGACAAATGCATGAGCTATTATGAAAATGCCCAAATTGGGTCCACTTCTATGTTTCTAAAAGGAAAATGACATGGCTTCTTTGATTGGGGAAAACTGATTGGACTAAGTCCTTATTAACCTGAAAGCATATGCCTAGTCTCATCCCACTAGGACTTATGCATCAGTAAAATAAGGTCTTGATTTTATGCACACATCAGGGAAATCACCCCTGAATAAACTTTAGACAGAGGATTCAGTACAATAATTTTACCTAATTTAAATAACTAAAGTTAAAATCTCCTCTAAGTTATTAAAAATGTTAATCAGATATGAATCTTAACATTTCCATTAAGACAATTACAATTGAAAACATTAAATGATGGCAGTTGCCTTGTAAAAGCCACCCGTATGAAAGGAGTACATGTTTGACAAAAATAAGCATAAAAAAGGTATTAAATCCCTGTTCCTTTTCTCTGATTTTGGCTGATTATGTGTGTGTGTGTATATACGTATACATATATATACACACATACATATACATATATACACACACCCACACACACAAATACATAGTTATGTGTATATATTGTTTTGGAATGTCAATGGGTTCCATAACGATCAGCTAGGTTCAAGCAGAACTTGCTCCCGAAGCCTAGAAAACAAAGTCATACAGAGTATAATCTTAGACAGTTATCATTAAAAGGAGATCATGAATGATGTTACAAATACACAGATGGTCACAAACGGCAATAAAGCAAAATGGATTGAGAATCCCTCTTCCCTGAACCTAAATTCCAGGGGCTGAAATTCCTGTTGAAATTCACATTTCCCTCTGGGTCATCTTTAACATAGGCAGAGAATTCATCTCTAGTTTACACTGCTCTAGTGCCCAGGTTTTTTCCTCCATTTTCTCTGTAAGTTTCTCCTGTATGACAAAAAGCAAAAGGCCAGAATATCTTTTTCTTAAACCTCTATGTCATATTTGGTAAATTTTTCTAAAATAATTTTCAAAGATGTACAGAAAAGACCTTACAAACCTTCAAAGTTTCCTTAACTAGTGAGGCTCTCTCTCAAATAAAAAAGTCTTAAGAGGAAAATTGGAAGTACTTATTTTAGTTCAGTGATTCCCTGTCAAAAGTAAATATTCAAATCTTAGGTTTCTGCACATTATTTTATAGGAAAAAAACCTCCTATATTAAACTATTGCATTAAAAAGAAACACAGTGAACTCAAACAGCCAGTGTTTCTATAGATGATGGTCTGTTAACAGAACTTTCATCTAAGGGAACAACATGTGAATTAAACCAAGCAAATACAAACAAGCAATCCTAAATTCAACCAAGTCCCAAACCATAGGAGGGAATTTCTCAGATAATTCTTTAGGGACACACATAAGATGCTGGTGGTAGTTGAGGTCAACTCTTATCATGCATACTACAAAAGATGAGAAGTAGAGGTACTGATGAGATTTAAAAGTTAAAAGATTTAACTACGCTGTGAACAACAATTCACACTTCTCTCACAGGGACTTTTTGAACCACTTAAAATATAATTCTTACAGATCAAATGCTACAGTGTACAAAGCACCAGAAAAACAATGCACATAAAAGATGTATTTGGATACACAGCAGAGGGCTTTGCCATTAATCTGCAAGCAGTGAACCAATGAACAACACAAAATAAAGGCAGAATGAAGAATTTAATGCAGTTTATGAATTAAGGGAAATTAATTCAAAACTGAAAGTAATATTAGGGGGAAGAAACCCTTTCTACATTTTTGGCTTCTAGTAGAATGACACATAATGCAGGCAATTCTCCTAGTACTAATACCTATGAATGAGGGGTCTAGGTAAGAGCAAATATATTTGCATTCTGGTATGCCACAAGTCAGCTAACTTTGCCCCAAGAATAATACAGAAATACCTGCTAACTCATGGTCAGAGTAGCTAGTACTAAACTTCTAATTATTTCTCCCTTTCTTTAAATGCTTATCACTGAAGAATGGTTTAATGTAAGCTTCAACCACTAAAAAAGAGAGAAAAGAGGGGAGAGTAGTTTACATTTTAAGATTGTATATGTCTTTTAAAAGTTTTAAGTTTGAAACCTTATTTTATGAACAATTAGGACAACCAAGCGGTGGCAAGGAGGAAGCTTTCCTCATTTTTCCAGACCACCTTGGAGTTGGCAGAATTTTCACTTCAACCCCCTCAGGCTACATGAAGTTAAGGGGATGCAGAAAGAAAAGGTAGGAAGGTGAGGATCCTAATAGGAGAAACTGGTGATTAGTGCCCCTTCCCTGTTCGTCTAGTTCTGGCTGATGCACAGTTAAAACTAAGAGTTTATATGGCCATTCTAGATCTTTTTATTTATGATTAGAGCGACCTGTGCCTTGGGACTCTAAGTGTTGAAGTTTTGATTTTATCATCATCAGTGCTATTTAAAGCAACATTGAAACAGATGGGGCTATAGAGAAGAGTTTTTGTCTAAAGATTCTGTTGAGGTTTTAATGCAGGTTGAATATGGAATTATTTTCTATAAACATGTACCTCTGCCACGAACCCATCTCCTCTACTCCTACATACTTAAATGGACTTTTTAAAAACTATCTATTTTTCAAATTAGAGACTTATAACTCAAACCATTTATTAAAGTATAAAGAAGAAAGCCAAAAGAATCCTTACCTTACCTTTCTTGGGACATTATATGCAATTAGAAGGCATGTTATTTTAAATTAACTGTTTTAAGGATGTAGACAATTGTATAATATTTTGAAATAAACATGCTATTTAAGAAGAATAATTTGTAATACAAGCAGTAATTAGAACAATATAGTTAAAAACATCTGTCATTATGCAGTGGTAAGAGTATGTGTGGGAAAAGCTACTCAGGATTCTCTTCCACTGGTTAACTTTAAATTGCCTTTTTCAAATGAAAAGAGAGTGGTTATATATACCACTGACCAGAGATGATTTATCTTTCTCACAATTAAGCTGAGGCTGGAGAAGACCAGATTGTCTTACTGAGTGGGAATGTGGGTGTGGATGGAAATAGCCTTGTTTGCTACTGAAAAATCGCTTAAGAAACAAAGAAAGTACAGTCCAGGCAACAGAAGAAAAAGTCAGCAAGGGGGAGAAGACAGCAACATAAACAAACCAATATTAAAAAGGGGAGAAATATGAATTTCAGCAAGTTGAAAGGAATTGCTATCATCACTTCTAAAATGGTAAGTATTAAACTGTCAGTTCAAGTGCACAACCAAATGTTCAGTCCCATGAAAACTAAACTCTGATAGCTAAACACACAAAAAAAATGGAAACTGCCAAGTTCACCTCAGGGACAAAGAGATCCCCTACCCCTGCCATGAACACTGTTCCTTTCAGCTTACTTTTACAGAAGGCGGTCTCAGCTGTGACAAGAATTCCGCCATCCAAGTGATGGGTAAACACACAAACAGAAAGAGCAGCATGTCCTGCGTGATACAGATAACAACAGCTTCTCCTGAACAAGTGCAGTCAGTGAAGAGAGAGAGAGAGAGGAAGAGAAAGTGAAACTCCTGGAGGGCAGCTGCCTCCTCATCACCACCTACCATCGGTTTTAGCTCTCTGGCATCAGCAACGCCTCCCTTACCAGCTTCCTTCATTGCTTTCCTACTGTTTTCCACAAACTCCTGAAAAACAGGGACCAGATTACATAAATTCTTAGGTCTTTTCAGACTTTAGATGGTAGATGATTTCTAAAGAATATTGACATGTTTGACTCAGTAATGGTAAATGGATGGCCTAGAAAAAACCAGCAATAAATAATGTTTGGTACCATACACAAGAATGGCTCAGTTTGAGGGTATGGACTGCAAGCTGTTGATATAAAATCTTTTTGCCCACCATTCCTCGTGACAATCTTACTTAGACTCAGAGATGTTTAGTTATCTGGAAGAGAAAATAACTCTTGTTTTTTAGAAAAGACTATTTTCTCACCCTTAGAATATTATTTGTTATTTTACCTTTTTCCATATCAAGGCTAAATAAATGAAACAAGAACATTTTATTCCATTAAGCCCCCTCTTTAAAATAACCCTAGGAGGTAAAAGAAAGCATTCACACTACTTAGTATACTATACTATTTTTACCAAGGCATAAATAAGCTACTTTAAAAAATTGTCTATATGGCCTTGAAATTATTCCATAAAGCAGGAAGACAGGGAGTAACAACCAGAAACAGCTGGTCAGAAGCAGTTAAAATGGGATTATGCCCCAAAGGAAACATTTCTATCCTGTCAAAGTTTATGGAGCACTTCCTCATTCAATATCCTCATCATTCTTACAGACAAGACTAAAATGAGAAAAACTATATTTTTCACTCTGTTTTTCATCAGTGGCTTAAAGAACAAAACAAATCCCTCCTTCTAAATGCCTTAATCACAAGAGAGATGCATTGCTCTTAAGTCAAGTTCAACGATGAGAATAATCAGGATTATAATTGAGATTATGAAAATGTCCAAAATGTATCTGGTGACGTTCTTAATAACAGAGATAATGAGTACCAAGTAGGTCAGTTGAATCATTTGGAATTTTTGAGATTGAAAAAAAATCTATATTATTTATTAATAAATTTATTTTAGATTTAACTGGATAAACCATATTACTGGAAGATGTTTTGCTATCTCAATGTCTAATGTTTAAACTTCAATACTATTCATTCTTGAGATAGGACTATTTCACAGATTAATAGCAAAGTATTATTAAAAAGCATCTTTAATTTGGTAGCATTTAACATAGATCCTAGTATTTAAATCATTTTAATATGGTTTCCAAATTTTTTAAAACATTTAATTGAGGTTCTAATATAGGGAAGCTGTAGAGGCTATGTAACTACAAAGAATATGTTATCTTTGTAAAGGTTTGGATCTTGACTAATGGAAAACAATACAATCTACCAGTCATGGGTCTGATAATCTGTATTCATTACAAAACATCTTCAATTTGGCTTGGCATACCTAGGATTATGAGTTTTAACAGGCTGACAGCAATAATATTTAGAAAAGTGGTGGATGGAGAAATACAGGTAGGCACTACAACCCAGGAAATAAAACTTTTCATCTTTGAATCCTGATTCAGAAAAGTCACTTAGAACATGAGTGGTCCAACATTGCAGTTTCAAGGGCTAAAAATGCCTATTCAAGTTCACCTAACGGCAGAGACGAGGAGAGCAGTACGGAACCATGTGAACTCAGGACTCTCAGTGGGATACTGATCTAGCTAGGTGGATTCAAATGGTCTCATTCATGCCAAATGGGTCTTCTTCCCTGACTTCCCCAAGACTAGCCTCATTCATGAGTGCTACAGATTAATTCTGAATCACTCAGTTGCATATACTGGGAATTAAACACAAAGAAGGTTCTACAACATTTATATCAGTATTTTTGATCCTTAAAGCAGTAGAGGGCATTTGATGTACTTACCATCAGTACTTTGTCCATATAAAATTCTCTGCCTGGGCTCCCATCATTGTATTTTGTATCAATGGCAAAACACAAGAATAAAACATCCACTACCATTTCATAAATGGACAGGAAGCAATGGGCGACCAGGAAAGCAAAGAGGCAGACGATGATCAGAGGCAGCACCCACACTGTGTAATCTTGTTGGTAGTTGAGCAGCATAACCCCAGTCAGACCCGTGCCGCAGACGATCAGCACCTGAAACAGGGAAAACAGAGACCATACTTAATAACCTCCTGCAGAAAACCTCTATTTCTTCATCATCTGCAGACTTACAATCCTCTTTATTATTCAGAAATGATGGCTGTATGAATTCATGCCACCTCAACTTACAAAGTGTAATCCATAGATACGCATGTACATGTGTATCAAGTAACATAAAACATCATCCATGCTGACAATAAAAATAATCAAGTTTTCCAAATGGTATGCTTGTTCCCTAAGACTTCACTTTTTTAGCACCTGTGGCAATCTGTAAGAGAAATGTATACCTATCTTGGAAAAAAAAATTATACACACTCTTAGCATGCAGAAGAAAACTACTGACATTGCAGGGTACTGCTGTGTATTTTTTTCTAAGCATTTTTACATATATGAAATGGTATTATATAAACAAATCATTAAAAGCTCTTCATTAATATTTATATATAATACATGTTTCTTAAGTACATATTCAGCTACACTATTTTCATTCTGTGGGTGGTTTAAAATTTATTTAACCATTCTCCTACATTTGGAGACATTGTTTTCAGATATAAATAATGCTGCAACCAACATCTCTGAGAGCTTTCTCTTTGTCTCATATTTTATTTCCCATAGAACATGTGGTATGTTTAAGACAATTTGCTATGAAGTGTTGATTTGGACTATTTGTGAAGAAAGAGGTTGCCAAACACATTTATGCTGTAAAAATAAAAAGAAATAGTCATTTGCTCACTGTCAAGAACCACCTACTCTGATGCTTCATCACCACACATGCAGCACTTTAAATTTTCTGTGATCTGTTTAATATATTTTATTTCAGTTTTTCAATAACCCTATGAATGGCTTATAGCGAACATTATCACCCTTGTATTACAGATTGGGAAACATTCGTAGAGAGCCTAGCTGACCTGCCCAAGGCCACGCAGTAGAATAAAGAGCAGATACCACTCAAAAAATAGTCTTGTCATGACAACACCATTGCTCTTTCCAGGTAAACATTCAGCAAATACTTGGATACTGATACATCACAGTAATAGGTACACTGAATCCTAGCGGCACTCTTGCCCAGCACTTTACCTGGCTTAACATCAAGCTGTAAATAACAAAGAAAAAGAAAGAGGCCTCAAGAACCGCAGCAGCCTTTCCTTGCCCAGGGTTGAAGCCAAGAGACTGGGAATTCTTTTGTCTTTCCCCTACTGTCTGTCAACACCAAAGCATCTCTCAGTCACCATTATCTTAACCAGGAATTATAATACATCAGAGGATATACTGGGTTAAGCAACAAATTGTTCCCTCTCTCAGATGATTTTGTGGCAATACATTTATGAATCTTCTCTCATGATGAGTTATTTCTGGGGTAATGTCCACAAACAGCTAATTAGGCCCATTTTCCTTCACTCTTCTGGTTTCAGTTTTTTTTTGGTTTCAATTTTAGAGTGAGTTATTTCTTACCCTCTTCTTCAACGTTTTTACATCTACCTGATGGGAGAACTGAGCTGCTTTATGCTCTCTCTATGCCACTAAAAGTGAAACCACATTTCAATGTTAAAGTCAATAACAGGCAGAAGATGTGGCTCAGACAAAGCGGATGTTGAGACAAAAGCTGTTAAGGTAGAATACTGTCACATGAGAAACAACTATGAAAATCAGTGATATTTAGCTTAAAAGTCAAAGAAATGTAATAACTACTCCCTAGTATAATGAAAGGACATCACGCATCCATTCAAGCAGAGGATACATTAGTGGTTATCAGATTATCAGATGGGCTAGGAATCACTTGGGGAGTTTGTGAATAAAATGCAGATTCTCAAGCCTTGCCCCCAGAGAGTCTTATTGGTTGGATTTAAGATGAAGTCAGCAATATTCATTTTACAAGTACCCCCAGTGAGTCTTAAAAGTCCACAGCCTACAAGTAGTATGGCTCTATATACCTGGTGGGTGTCCTCCATGGTGAGTACGCATAGCCAAGGGAGTGTTCAAGAGAATCACTTGGGACTTCTATATATATTTCTCATATGCTAAAAATTTACTTTTTATTAAAAGCTATACATATCATATATATATATCATAAATAAATAAATATGTTGGGGAAGTATGCTCAAAATTTTTAATAGGATATGTAATTTTAAAAGTTTAGACAATCTTATAATAAAAGATAAGTTCTCGGCAAATCAGGGTAGAATGTGAGAAGCAGGAAGAAAGGATACTAGTTTTGGAGTCAGAAAGATGTAAGATTGAATCTGAGTTAGTACTTTTTAGTTTTGTGACTAAGCAAGTTCATTGAACCTTTCTGAACCTATTTATCCATCTTTAAAAGAGATACAATATGACATACACCCCGTAATTGTTAAAATAAGCATTCTGAAAGCATTTTACATAGTGACTGGCAATCTTAGTTTCTTCCTTTTTTCGGTCATCAATCTTGGATTTATGATGCCTTTCTCCCATGAAACCCATGTTTTGAAAGATTTTGTTTACCAATAAAATAGCATCTATAAATAATAATTTAATTTTCATTTTTTAATTGAATGAACTCAGATTAAACTGTCAACTAGGACATATAAGTAGTGTCACAAAAAGTATTATCAAATAGACATAAAATAATTTCATACTGAAGCAAAGAAATTTAAGATTTGAGGGATTTTGGGGGTATAGTTTTCTTGGTATAAACATGCAATATCTATTTGACTTTAAAATGTTGAAATATAGCTTCTACATCTTTATTCTTAACCTTTGAGGACCCTATAGGCCAGCAATCATAGGTCATAAGGCACTAAACTAGAGGAGCTAGGGTCTTGTCTAAATCTAATTTTCCATTCCATAAAATCATTGGGGCTTCATAGAAACAAAATCCATGACACTATTTTTTGTTTTCTTTCTAAAATCAAGGTTCTGAAAATTAAATTTTAAATTTTGAAATAATTATGGATTAATGTGAAATAGTAGAAAAGTAACACAGAACGAACCCCATGTACCCTTTATCCAGTTCCCTTCAACGATAACACTTTGTAAAATTATACTGACAGTAGTGAATACAAAGTCACAACCTAGATATTGACACCGGTACAGTAAAGATAGCGAACATACCCATCATCACAAGCCTCCTTCATTTTAATTTTTTATAGCTATCCTTACTTCCCTTCACCCCATCACTAACTGGGCAACCACATATATAGTCTCCATTTTTATAATGTCATTTTAAGAAAGTTGTATAAATGGAATCATACAAGACTTAATCTTCTGGGATTGGCATTTTTTACTCAGCATAATTCCCTCAAGATTCATCCAAGTTGTTGAATGCACTAATAATTTGTTCCTAACACTTTTATGTTTATTATGATCTATCTAGTTGAACTATCTGACCAAAAACTATTTCTGCATACTAGTATTATTAATTTCATTCATTTCAGTTAATTTCATTAACTGTAACAAAAGAAACTCTTTAAAAGATTTATTGTATTTTGTGATCAGAAGTATATTTTTGAAAAAGGAAAACAACCAAAAAAAGAAAAAGGAAAACAAGAAATTCATTTTAGTATGTTAGAAACCCAAAAGTTTTTTTTTTTCTCTTATCTTTTTCCTTTTTTTGATTTGTCAGTTTAAAAACTGCTTATCTTTCATGGTTTTAGGTCTCTTTGTAAATAATGTTAGATATATTATTCAAAATTATACTTTGCTGGAAAGCAACTTGGAAATACATATCAAAAATCCTATTATGTACTTGAACTCATTAATTCTACTTCTACAGTTCTGGCCTTAGGACATAAGTATTACTGTGGGCAAGAATTGCTATACAAAAGTTTCACTATAGTACACTTCATAATAGTAAAAAATATGAGGAAAGTTCAATAGTAAACAAAACAAAGGCTTTACTAAATAAATGATACAATTGTATAATCACATTTAAGACATTTTTAATAGAATGAGAAATGCTCATAATATGAAGTGAAAAAAGGGATACAAAACTGTCTTTTCTACCAGATTTTAAATTTGCTTTATTGACTAGTATTATAACCAGCATCCAGAAAAGCCCCTGGTACATTACTAGTAGGTACTCTATAAACACTTCTTTAATGACTAAAAGGTTATGAGAAACATAAGGAAAAAACCTAAGAAAAAAAGCCTGTCTTCTTCTTGGAAGACAGGCTTCTGAAAAACTCAAAGCCAATTTTAAAACACTGCATTTTATCATGTATATATTTTTCCATTATAAAAAATGCACAAAACTTTATCATGGTAAAGTGGGAGGAGGGGTTTGGAATCATTCATATTTTCAATACCTGAAAGCAATCATTATTAACATTTTGAGATACTAATTTTCATTTTTTTCTTATGCACATTTTTAAACAGTTCTGTGATAGTCTAGTAGTTTTACTCAGCTTTCCACTTACCATATTATACACAATCATATTACAAACTCTTAATAAAAAAAACATAATTTAGGGAGTTCCCTGATGGTCCAGTGGCTAAAACCACAGTGCTTTCACTGTGGAGGGCGCAGGTTCAATCCCCGGCCAGAGAACTAAGATCTTAAAGATTGCATGGCATGGCCAAAAAAATGAAAAACAAAAAAAAAGGTTTAATAGGCAAATAGTCTGCAGATTATTACTTCCAACTTTTATTGTTAGGCAGCAGACTGCTTACATTTGGTCACTATTATAAATAATGCTGTATTTAGAATTATCTCTAGCAGTTTGGAGAAGGCAATGGCACCCCACTCCAGGACTCTTGCCTGGAAAATCCCATGGACGGAGGAGCCTGGTAGGCTGCAGTCCATGGGGTCGCTAAGAGTCAGACACGACTGAGCGACTTCACTTTCGCTTTTCACTTTCATGCATTGGAGAAGGAAATGGCAACCCACTCCAGTGTTCTTGCCTGGAGAATCCCAGGGACGGGGAGCCTGGTGGGCTGCTGTCTTGGGTAGCAGAGTCGGATACGACTGAAGTGACTTAGCAGTAGCTAGTAGTTTACCATCATCAGAATCACTGAATCAAAAGGCTTCAGGGAAAAAAAAAAAAGGCCCAGGGACAAAATTTTTGTCAGTTAACACAATTATAGCTCACAGTGATTAAAAACTTTGAAGTCAGACAGATCTGAATCTGAACTCCAGCTCTGCCACATTTGAGTTTTCTAAATTTGGACAACCTACTTAGCTCTCTAAACTTTGGTTTCCTTTGCTGTGAAATGAAGATAATAGGAGCTCTCCTTATTGGGTGGAGGGTGGGGGGGACCAAATATAACACTTCACATAAAGCACTGCCCTCAGCACCTGGTACCCAGTAAGTGTCAAAAACTTTTTAATTGCTCTGTATATTTTTATATATATATATATATGTTTTTAAGTTGCTTTTTAGGTACTAGGGGTCAATTATAAGTATGTAAAAAATAAACCAAAAATCTGGGGTCTCCCTGAGTTATTCATATAGCACATAAATAATAGTAATGGTTAGTAACAGGGTCAGACCTATATTTAGTCCTTAATAAGAATTAACTCATTTCATTCTTACTATAATAAATTTCTTATTGTAAAAACATGACAAAAATCCAGGAGTCATAATATATGTTTAATTAAAAATTTTAAAAATAACTATCTGTGCAGTTATATAAGTCTTCTTCGATGACTGTTGCCTGAGAACTCAAAACTACGCAGTGCTATGGGATGAGGGTTAGGGGTGGGAGTGAGGCTCCAGAGGGAGGGGATATGTGTATACCTATAGCTGATTCACACTGTTTTATAGCAGACCAATACAGCATTGTAAAACAATTATAGTCCAATTAAAAAACCTACATAGTGCTAATCAATCCCCTTTTCCTTTGCAAAGGAAATATGATTTGCTTTTCCTTGTAAAAGCACAGTGGCTAGAGTAAAAAGTGCTCAATAGTAAGAGAATAGCATTTGACGGAACAGTGGCCATTATGATAATGATGAAATTATTAAGGTTATCAAAACAATGCAAAAAAATACATAATAGAATATGAAGTGAAAAGAGCAGAAAAAATAGGTATGTATAGTAGGACTGTTACACTATAGAAATAGAAGCCTATGAAAAATAAATATAAATATAAAATATAAAAAAGAAATATAAGCCTATGTATATTTCTATACATAGAAATATAAGCCTATGAAAAACATGGGAGGTAATATAAAAATAAGTTATCAGGTTATCATGGTAGTATCTTAAATTTTCTGAGTATTTTACGGTTTGAAATATGGATACAATGAACCCCAATTATAAAGTTATCTAATATTTTGCAGATTTTAATAGCATAGAATAAAAAGATACTTGAGAACAGTTAACTCTCATTCCCTAACAGTTCTTTTTTAAGGGATTTATATATTGTTAACATTGACCATTAATATTCATCAAGAACCTACAATGTCTCAGGCACTATCTTAGGTACTCTAGACATATTAATTAGCCTAATCCTCACAACTCTAGGGGTTTGGCACTATTGTGACACCAGTTTCACAGATGGACAAACAGAGGCACAGAGTGGCTATTACCCTGCCTTAGGTCACACAGCTAGTGAGACCAGGATTTCCATCCAGGCAGCCAGGTTTCAGATGCAATGGTCCTAACCACCACATGGACTGTTTCTTATTTCAAAATATGTCAGGATAATCATGGGCAAATTACTTAACTGTGCTTGTCTCTGATTCCTCATCTGTATCACGAAGTTAATAAATAATAATAGAACTTCCATTACAAATTTGTTAACGAAGACTAAATGAGCACAATACATGTAAAGTACTTAGAAAAATGCCTGATACATATTAAGGGCTCTGTAAGTGCTTGCTTTCTATTATGTGACTTTTAGGTTTTTGGTGGGCTACATATGTGTTTTAAATTGAAGAGCAACTATTGCATATGTGAAAATTTACTGTATGTCTCAGATAATATACTTGGTTTTATTACCTTGCCTAGGAATAACATGAAATCCCCCACCGTGTTGATGGCAGCTACTCGCAAAGCATTCTCCACGAGAATGACAAAGGCATCCTTTGCTGAGGTGCAGAAATTGGTGCTGTTGATAGCTGTGGCTGTGTATGCATTCTGGACAAAAGCAAAAACAATTTTTTATCAGTAAATGTTATCTTTACAATTTAAACTAAGGATAGTTAAAGCATAGCTTGCAAAAAAATTTCACAGTTAAACCCATGGCTTTGGTGAGGTACAGATTTAGATTAAGCACAAGGAAATATAAGACATTAAAAAAAAAAAAAACCAATCTGATATGGTAAAGAAAACTCGGATGGCCTAGTTTTGGTCCTTTAAAAACATTGACATTTATTAAAACACACATAAACCTTTCCAACATCCATTACCTTCTTCCCCGTCTTAGTAAATCAAACCATAATTTAACCTTTCCTAGATACTTTGGGTTCATCACTAGGCATTTCAGTGATGCTTTAAAAGCTACACACACGTATAAAGGCACCAGATTGCTGTGCTGTTTTATCGGGAACATCTATTTCCTCCTCCTTGGCACTTTCTTCTGTGCTGTCACTTCTCACAGTTCTTGCAGTAGACAGCTCTCTGTTGCTGATTTCATACCCCTCCCTCTGGGGCAGAACATCAAATCCCCTTTGAGGAAACAATGCTTTCTCATTCTCTTGGAGTCTGAGTGAGGTTGACACTACCTCCAGCTCTGGGGGTAAGCTCTGATGGATGTAAGTCAATCAACATGTTTTACCCACAGTGACTGCTTCAGGAATTGGTACAGAAACGAATCGGAGTCAGTGAAAGTAAAAGATGTTCCCCTGGGCTTCTGGGAAAAAAAGAAGTTTTCTTTCTCTTCCGTAGGTGCTCCTGACAAAGGAGCTCTCTCATGTACCTGGATGCAAGGTGTGAGGATACAAATGACCACGCCTGTCTTGCCAACATAATGGAAGTCAGAGCAGAGAGGGAAACCAGGTAGTTACACTTGGTAACAATGTTTACATGGTTAGGAACCAGCCAGATTCTGTACTTTTCAGTTACAGAAGCTAATAAATAGCTAAGACTCTCTCCCCTTCTTCCCACCCCTACCCCCTTCTCTATCTTGCTCTTTGGGGGCTAGACCGGACTGGTTTTCTGTCTGCTGTAGTACTGAGTCCCCAGCTGACATACTTGATCCAATTGTACCTGCTTCTGTCTCCCCATGTTTTCTTTGACTAATAGTCACTCTGATTTTTTTTTTCTTCTTTTTTCCATTACATTCTAGAATAGCACTGACACTTTCTGGAAAACGTGAATAAGTAACATAACATGAAATATGTTTGAGTCTTAAGAAGGGAAAGTATATGGACTTTGTAATGAAAACTTAGAGTCCTGAGCAATTTTTGGTTTAGTGCTGACTTAAGAAATTGTTCCAAAATATGAAGTTGTAGGAAAAATGCAGAACACAAAGGCATACATTATACTGGGTTGTCTGTAAAGTTTTAAACACTGAGATCAGAAGAGTCTTTAATTTATGAGTGTTCCAATGGTACACTTGTTAGTTATTACGAACTGGGTATGAAGATGAGGTTGGAGTCATCAAAAATTTAATTTGTCATTATATGATTAATTTCATTGGTTAAAAATGCAGAACTTTTCAGGCCCAAATAGAGAGTACTGTACTGAGTAGGTCACTATTTGTGGTTCATAAACTTTATTCAGTATTGGAACAGCAGGAAATAACAGTGCTCTCTGAGAAACACAGTATGATCTTAATATAGGAAATGTCTTCATACAAATTGGCATAACTTGTATGTAGTAGCCCTCAGTGAACAATAGAGTCCAAAATGCAGTACCTGGGTGCAATCTCAAAAACGACAGAATGAACTTGGTTCGCTTCCAAGGAAAACCATTCAATATCACAGTAATCCAAGTCTGTGCCCCAATCACTAATGCCAAAGAAGACAAAGTTGAATGGTTCTATGAAGACCTACAAGGTCTTCTAGAACTAACACCAAAAAAAGATGTCCTTTTCATCACAGCGGACTGGAATGCAAAAGTAGAAGTCAAGTTATACCTGAAGTAATCGGCAAGTTTGGCCTCGGAGTACAAAATGAAGCAGAGCAAAGTCTAACAGAGTTTTGCCAAGTGAGCACACTGGTCATAGCAAACACCCTCTTCCAATAACACATGAGACAACATGGACATCACCAGTTGGACAATACTGAAATCAGATGGATTCTATTCTCTGCAGATGAAGATGAAGCTCTATACAGTCAGCAAAAACAAGACTGGGAGCATGACTCAGATCATGAACTCCTTATTGCAAAATTCAGACTTAAATTGAAGAAAGTAGGGAAAACCACCAGGCCATTCAGGTATGATCTAAATCAAATCTGTTATGACTACACAGTGGAAGTGACAAATAGATTCAAAGGATTAGATCTGATACAGAGAGTACCTGAAGAACTATGGACAGAGGTTTGTAATACTGTTCAGGAGGTGATCAAAACCATCCCCAAAGAAAAAATGCAAGAAGGCAAAGTCGTTGACTGAGGAGGCCTTACAAATAGCTGAGGAAAGAAGAGAAGCAAAGGGCAAAGGAGAAAAGGAAAGATATACCCATCTGAATGCAGAGTTCCAAAGAACAGCAAGGAGAAATAAGAAAGCCTACCTCAGTGATCAGTGCAAAGAAATAGAGGAAAACAATAGGATGGGAAAGACTAGAGATCTCTTCAAGAAAACCAGAGATACCAAGGGAACTTCTCATGCAAAGATGGGCACAATAAAGGACAGAAATGGTATGGACCTAACAGAAGCAGAAGATATTAAGAAGAGGTGGCAAGAATACACAGAAGAACTATACAAAAAAAAGATCTTAATGACTCAGATAACCACAATGGTGTGATCATTCATCTAGAACCAGATATTTTGGAGTGCAAAGTCAAGTGGGCCTTAGGAAGCATCACCACAAACAAAGCTGGTGGAGGTGATGGAATTCCAGTTGAGCTATTTCAAATCCTCAAAGACGATGCTGTTAAGTGCTGCACTCAATATGTCAACAAATTTGGAAATGTCCACAGCAGCCACAGGACTGGAAAAGGTCAGTTTTCATCCCAATCCCAAAGAAAGGCAATGCCAAAGAATGTTCAAAGTACCGCACAACCGCACTCATTTCACATGCTAGCAAAGTAATGCTGAAAATTTTCCCAGCTAGGCTTCAACAGTATGTGAACTGAGACCTTCCAAATGTTCAAGCTAGATTTAGAAAAGGCAGAGGAACCAGAGATCAAATTGCCAACAACTGTTGGATCATAGAAAAAGGAAGAGAATTCCAGAAAAACATCTACTTCTGCTTCATTGACTAGGCTAAAGCCTTTGACTGTGTGCATCACAACAATCTATGGAAAATTCTTAAAGACATGGGAATACTAGACCATCTTACCCACTTCCTGAGAAACGTGTATGCAGGTCAAGAAGCAACAGTCAGAACCAGACACGGAACAATGGACTAGTTACACATTGGGAAAAGAGTACATCAAGGCTGTATATTGTCACCCTGCTTATTTAATTTATATGCAGAGTACATCATGAGAAATGCTGGGTTGGATGAAGCATAAGCTGGAATCAAGGCTGCTGCCAGAAATGGCAATAATTTCAGGCATGCAGATGACACCACCCTTCGGCAGAAAATGAAGAGGAACTAAAGAGCCTCTGGGTGAAGGTGAAAGAGGAGAGTGAAAAGCTGGCTTAAAACTCAACATTCAAAAACTAAGATCATGGCATCCAGTGCCATCACTTCATGGCAAATAGATGGGGAAACAATGGCAAAAGTGACAGACTTTATTTTTTGGGGCTCCAAAATCACTGCAGATGGTGACTGTGGCCATGAAACTCAGACTCTTGCTCTTTGGAAGAAAAGCTATGACCAACCTAGACAGCACATTAAAAAGCAGAGACATTACTTGGTCAACATAGATCTCTCTAGTCAAAGTTATGGTTTTTCCAGTAGTCATTATGGATGTGAGAGTTGGACTATAAAGCAAGCTGAGCGCCAAAGAATTGATGATTTTGAACTGTGGTGTTGGAGAAGACTCTTTAGAGTCCCTTGGACTGCAAGGAGATCCAACCAGCCCACTGTAAAGGAAATCAACCCTGAATATTCATCGGAGGGACTGATGCTGAGGCTGAAACTCCAAACTTTGGCCACCTGATGTGAAGAGCCGACTTAGTGGAGAAGACCCTGATGCTGGGGAAGATTGAAGGTAGGAAGAGAAGGGGACAACAGAGGTTGGATGGCATCACCGACTCGATGGACATGAGTTTGAGTAAGCTCTGGGAGTTGGTGATGGACAGGGAAGCCTGGTGTGCTGCAGTCTATGGGGTCGCAAAGAGTCGGACACAACTGAGCTACTGAACTGAACTAAAACCAGAAATGAGTATATGCGGTTTATGTTTCAAAAAGGCTGAGAAGGTGGGTTCTCTAGACTGTAAGTGAGGTTGGTGTTGATTCTTAATGTTACTCTAGAGGAGGGGCAAAAATATCTTTTGGTAAAAGACCAAATAGTGAATATTTTTGGCTTTGTGGACCATATAGTCTCTGCCACAATTGCTGAGTTCTGCCATCATAACATAAAAACAGCCAAAACAGTTTGTAAATAAAACATAGCTGTGTTCCAATGAAACTTACGTACTGAAGTACATATTTAGCCCACAGGCAGTAGTTTGAAAACTCTGCCCTAAAATAAATTATTAATGGGGCTTGTTTGGTTGTTTTTATTTGTTTTGTTTTGGGTTTGTTTTTCATTATTGTTATTCATTTTTTAGGTAAGGAACTGATGAGAACTGGGAACTACTCTGGGTTCCTTGAGAATAGATCAAGATTGGAAAGTTCTGTATCATTTTTTAGCTGAGTTACTGTTACATAAGTTCAAAAGTACAGTTAGTTTATTTTGATGTCATGAGGCTATTCGCAGAATGTTTCAAAAGAAGTTATATAGATTAGGAAATGTGAACCACTGCAGTTAGGTAGTTAACTCTTTGGTGCCTGCTGTCTTTTAACTGATAGGAAGTACTGGCCAATGACAGCATAAAGTGGGCAAGCAGCAGATGAGTGCTACCTGGACAACTTAAGA